GTGTCCTGGCCAGTGTCGCTGCCTGTACACTGCTGGGGGTGCTTATTCAGGACATACCCCACAGAAATGCCCCCAGGAGATGTCACTTGCCCAGGGATGCCACCAGACAGGGGGAAAGGCCTGCTGGTTGCAATCAATGTAGGTGCAGTGAATCATCCTGCTACCCTGGCAAGGGAACATCAGGAGGTCCAGTGCTCATACCCAGTGCTCCCAGCACACAGGGACAAGATTGGCCACTGAAAAGGGTGCATGGGCAACTGGGGTCCAGGTCTCTGACCTGCCACAGCTTTCCTTTGGGAAGCTTTATACCCTTCCCAAAGGAGGAGACAAGGGCAGTGGGCAGCCCACCTCATCCTCATGAGTGGAAAACCAGCAATCCTGCTTGTACAAGAAACATCCAATGGTTTCCAAGCTTGTCTGAAAGATTTTTGGGGTGGGGTGTTATTACATTTTATTCCTCAGCAGCAGGGCCAACCAGATATCCATCTTCCTCCTCCACTGTGTCTGACCTCAGGATAAGCAGTGGCTGCATCTGCTCATTCAGGATGACTAAAGCAGATGGCCTGGGGTTTGATCCAGCTTTTCTCAGCCCAGAACTGCACCCACACCATGTTCATCTTCAAAATAAAGGGTCTGGGGGTTGATTTTTCCAGTACATCTAACCTCAAATCAAGGGCAGTCACTGCAGTGACACCCATGTGAAAACCCACCCTCTTTAATACCAGAACAACATCACTATACAGGCAAGTTCATGTTTTTATCTGGAGCGTGCCCGTCCCACCCTGGGAAGTTACACCCCATTGCTTCACAGAGACTCTGGGAAGATGAAACATTACATCAACATCTCATCTGATGGGGTAGAGAGGGACAGAGATAGCCCTCATTTAAGGTGCCCAGCAGCAGTTCTCTGATCAGCAGGTGCAAGGAAATAGGCACCTTGATGTTCAGTGTTCCCCTCATGCTTCAATACCCAGCAGCTGAAAAGGCTCTTGAATTGACAATGCTGACACTGGGAAAGAAGCCAAGGAGTGTGGGAAAGTGCCCAGATTCTCCGTGTCCATGTGCAGGAAGAATTTGGGCACTTCATAACCATTACAGTCCTGGGCAAGTTACTTTAAGTTAGAAATGACCAAGACTTGGAATAAAGGGAAGACAGGAAATAAATCCCTGTATATTTGTCCATTGACCAAAAAAACATCCATCCAAAGCTCAGCAGGATTGATGGAGCCACTGCCCATAGACAGAAAGCATTAAGGAAAACAGCTCGCAATATACACCCTGCTTGAACACCAGCTTGGGCTGATGTGTCTGCCACAGACCCAAACCCTTCAGATCGAGATGGCAGTGGCTGTATTTCACATGACACTTAGGAAGTGAAGCTTGTAACAGCTACCATATATATACATATATGAAACCATAGTCACTTCCTGCAGGCTACTGGAGGGTCGGAAGATGGGAAAGGCTTTTGAGCACCAGGTTTTCCCAGCTCCCACCACCACCAGTCACATCTTACGTCTGTCTTCAAGACTGGGGAGTGCTGGCCATGGGTGTTGAGTAACCTCCACTTACCACTGGGCTGAACTGGTCCCTCTGGGGAAGTGGTGAGCGGTAGAGAGGACAACGCAGCATTAAAGCATTCCCTCTGCACGCACAAGGAGAAAAAGAGTCTGGGTAAATCTGGTCTAGGCAGGGTGCACTCAGTGTGGGCAGGTCAGGGCCAGCCTGTTAATAGCCAGCAAGCTCCTACCCGAGAGCTTGCTTTGGAGAAGGAAGTCAGGAGGAGCTTATGTCAGCCTAAGCTAGAAGTGCCTACATGCATGACTGAAGGCAGAGGCTTGTGACAGGAGGCCAAGTGACTCAGTTGTGGTGGGTGGGGGCAACAAGAGAGAAGGGCATGTGGTTAGGGAACAGGCCATGAGTCACCAAGGAAGCACATATGTTGATAACAGCTGGATAAACTCAAAGCAGAGACATAAGGTCTGCTCAGAAGAACATCCAAGCTATACTGGAAGCCAAAACCTGGAGACATCAATCCCAAGGGTGAATGCAACAGAGTTCTAAGCGCCTGCCACAGCCTTTTCCTGTTTTTCAGCTCAGCAAGGGTTGCAGGATGAACATCTTATATGGGGCAGCCACAGCTCTGCCAGCACCTCAGCACCCTCACAGGGAAGAACTTCTGCCTTATCTCCAGCCTGAACTTCCCCTGTTTTAGTCTGAACCCATCACCTCTTGTCCTATCACTGCAGTCCCTGATGAAGAGTGCCTCTCCAGCATCCTTGTAGCCCCCTTCAGACACTGGAAGCTGCTCTGAGGTCTCCATGCAGCTTCTCTTCTCCAGGCTGAACAGCCCCGATGTTCTCAGCCTGGCTCCACACAGGAGGTGCTCCAGCCCCTGATCATCCTTGTGGCCTTCTCTGGACTTTTTCCAACAGCTCCATGTCCTTCTTATGGACACCAGAACTGCTCAGTGCTGCAAGAGCAGAGTAAAGGGGCAGGACCACCACCTGCTGGTCACCCTTCACTTGACGCAGCCCAGAATATGGTTGCATGGGATTGAGACTTCCCATCCTAATCCCTGCTCTCCCACACAGGCTGTCTAGTTTGTAGGTCCCCCTGCCCACGTCTAAAATGTCCCTGAAAACCTCCTTGGGAGCACAGTCAGCTTCAGCTTGCCCGTTCAGTTGGGTCTGCCTTCCTTTCATGCTTTCCCAGCAGCTATTTAGGAGGCATGTGCTCATTCCCTTGTCCACTTTGAAACCAGAGAGGATTGCTGTTGACCCACAAGAAATGTGTCACAGTCACACGCCTGCTTCTTTGCGTCCATCACTGCTGTGGCACTTCCCTTTTGGTGGGGAAATGGAAGAGAAGCAGCGTCAATGTGGCACAGGAAACTCAGCTTTGGTGTGTTCCTGAAACCTCAATTCAGTTTTAAGTTAAAGAGGCTCCATGACTCTGAAGAACAGGCACATAAACACTACATAACAGGGATGAATTCCTTTCTGTCAAGCCTAATATTTGCCAACATGTACTGTAAATGCATATTTTATGTTAACAACCCTTGTGGAACAAAGAGATTTATGTGACCACCTTTGAACTGAACACAATATCTGGTACCTGCATGTTGCAAAAAATAGGTCATCCCTCCAACTGCTCAGAAGCAACAGGAACTACAATTCCACTTTGTGGGCTCTCAGTGGGTTAGTTTACCAAGAAAAATCTTTCTTTACAGATTCATTAGCTAGTGCCTGCCCATAGGGATTACAGAAACACATCAAGGATGCCTTTCCTTGGCAGTATCAACCTTGATTGCTGCAGGGAGGTATGGGCAGTAAACACAATGAGCTCCGAAAATGTGCCAAAGAGTAATGTCCTTTCAGATGTCTTGTTCCAGGGCAGATCAGCCTCCCTGGAAAGCCAGGATGTGTTCTCTATGTTCTGCTAGGTCCAAAGAGCTCATTGCTTTGCTACAGAAAGTTATCTGCACTCAGAGCTTGGCATCAAGAGTGAGCCCTATGCCAGGGCATGTCCTGGCTGGGTTCAGGAAACCCCATAGGGCAGAGGGACCTGTGAAGCTGTAAGTACACCGTTCCCAAGCAGGCAGCCTGCTGAGAGTGCACTTCTTACCCTGTTCCTATCCGCTCTCTCCCAAAGGCAAAGACTACTGCTGCTGAGCAGCCCCAAGCCTAAACCTCCTACAGAGAGCAATACAACCAGTGCAGTGATGGTGGGGCATTAGACCTCAAAGGTGCTTACTTCTGGCACGGGGAGCATTCACATTAACTTAGATGGGCTAATTACTACAGTATCACAGTCTCCACAAGTCAAGTAGGATCATTTCCTTGCCTAGATAACCTTAATGATGCTCCTGTGTGGCAAGCTGGGAAGGCAGCTAAGAGAGAGCTTATAGGTTTAAAGGGCCTGGAAATGGAGCCAGCTAAGATGGTTAGAGGAGATAGAGGTGCATGCAGACAAGTGCACGCATGCAGGCACAAATGTCACACTGGTAAAGTGAAACCATCAGGATGCAATCTTCTCTTTCTTGGCAGGCTGCAGTCTGCTTTATGTATTTCTTTACACTAGGACTGTAGTTTTCCTGGGTGGGAATAGCTGTACACAGGTACAGCACTTTCATGGCATCAGTGGTGTCCTCACTAGGATGAAAAGAGACTGTCAAATTTCCAGCCCATGCCTGCTTCATACCCAGACCATGTTCTCCAGTCTTGTGGCACAGTGTCCTCATGTCCTGACCTTTTCAAAGGGAGCAAATGAGAGGCAAAACTGTAGCCATAAGATACAGGGGGTAGAACTACACCCACACTCAGTGTTGTATTTCCACAAGCCCACTGTTTAGCATCCCACTGTAGGACAGGATCTCTACTGCCTGCTCCTCTACACCACTTCTGGCACTTTCCCCTTTCTGAGGTATAAGGAACATGCTGGACAAGGTCTAATCAAAGCCTCATATGAAGGCAGCAGTATTTCCCTCTCTGCTAAATACATCTCTTAGGCTTGCACTAGCAGCATCCGCCTGTGCCTATAGTCATGCTGCAATTAGTTACTACCCCACTTCCTCTTCATCTGGTAATTCACATGGATGAGAGTGTAGCGAATGGGAGAAGTCTTATTAATAGCTCCAAATACAGTACCTGAGTTAGAAGATCTCACACTGCTGCTTCTAACAGTCTCCAAGGTCACTCCATCCTTCCTGTATGACATCCACGTCCCCTTCCACCTTGGCAATGCTCTCAACTGTCTCATCTGCAGAAGTGCTCCATACATTCCTCCCATGTGTATCCTATTGACTCTTTCCTCCTGTTTCCACCTACTTGGAAGCTCTAGAGCAGGGCTCAGGTTTGCTCATTTCATTAGAAAGAAGAAATCACATATTGATTAGAGGTGATAAGGTATTTGAGCTTCATCTATTCAAGCTTGAAGGATCACTTAGATGTTCAGCTGCACTGTTCACATGAGCACTCACTCAGAACACTGTCATAGCTTACCTTGACCCAAATCAGTCCTTCCATCTAATGAGTCCTGATGGTAGGTTAGAGGAGCTGGATACATGTCTTGAACAGGACATCTGTCCATGGCTTAGGTTGTGGAGGTGGTGAAAGCACCTCTGTGGACATGGCTGTGTAGGAGTCAGCAACACTTCTAGATCTGGGGAAGAAAATTCTACATTAATGAGCTATTTGCTTTTAAAAGCCGGGTCTATAAATGGAAAGGAATTAATGGGTTCCATTCCTTTGGCACAGATGCCCAGAGATGCATGCTTGTGTAAAGAACGTCTCTGGCAGAGCCAATGTCACCTAGTCCAAAATAGAACAGGTCCAAAAACACAGTTAAAAATCAAAGCAAATCTGGCTCAGTCTACTGAGGGCAGTGATGAGCAATAACTGTTTGCTCAGGAAAACTGCTTCCAGGAAAACCAGCCCTGTCTTGCAAGGACATGTGTTTCAGGGAGCAAAGAAGCAGAATCTTGACTGCTTGGAAGTCAACACCACTGACTTCCAGAGAGCCAGAATTCCTCGCCCCAAACCCTCCAAGACTAATACGGTGGTATCTAATAGAGAAGTATTTAACCACAGGTATGTAAGAGTAATGCATAATGCAGAACATGGCTAAGCTCTTCAGAATTCACACCATCCTCCCACTGACAGCACAGAGCTGTGCCCTCAATCACATGAGCACACAGGGCTACTGCAGACATCCCTTGGAAAGGGGGAAGGGATAGAAGCATGACTGGGCATTGCAGGACTGGAAGTTTCACACCAGAGCAAGCAAACGCCAGACCCCCCTGTGTTCTTGCCAAGAGAGAAATTCACAGAAGGAAATGGATGCTGTCACACTACTGTCACCTCAACAGCACCTATGTGTGTCAAAAGGGTCACTGCTGGGTGCTTCCTCATGCATTACTGCTCCTTTCTGATCGCTCACAGCTCTCAGCAGGAGCTTCTAGCCAGAGTGATGCTAACTCAGCATACTGGAGGCAAAAGTGAGATGATGACCCTTTAAAAATGCATACACCGCTGTGCATGAGCTCTCTGTGACATACACGACTGCTAAGCTCCATGTGAGGCAATGTAGATGAAGGACCAAGAGCACTTTCTGCCTCACACATCCCACAGACTAACAGCACATGCACATCCTACTGCTGTGACTCAGTTACACTCAGTACTCTGTGAAGGTGCAATAAATTGGTTTGCTTCCAAGCTCTTCCTATCTGTGCCTTGGTGTCAGACAACACTGGAAATAATTTCTGGAGACAGGGAAGGAGTTGCCCTAGGCAAATCTAGGTGCATTAAATGGCTGGTGAAGTCACAAGAGAGTCAGAAGCCAAATCAATTAGAAGTCAAGGCTTGATGCCCTTAGCTTTACAGGAAGTTCCACCAACCTGCACTAAGAAAAGACCATGTCTTCTCAGAAGAGTCAGGATGAAGGGGATAGAACCCCCAAAGTCACTAATCGAGGTGCCTCAGAGACAAAGGAACTTCCTCTGCTTTGTATAAGGGTTTTGAAAGTGAACCAAAATCATTCAAGCACTAAAGCAATGTGCAGGCAAGGACGTTTTCCTGTACCCCTCAGTGTACTACAGGTAGTAGTAAGATCCAGGAGGGCAATTCCAATAGCTCATTGCCAGCCTTGGCAGCTTTCTCTGGGGCTTGATCCAAAGGGGCCATTTGATTTCAGGACACAGAGACTCCAGAGATTCTGTATTACAAAGCAGCCACCTCATCTGGCATGGACTTCTGTAAGTGTTGAAACACATCCTCCCTCCCTGATCCTTTCCAGTATGGAAGGGAATCTACAGGCTCAGCATCTTTGGCTCCCTGAATGAGGCTGCAAGAGGGGCAGGCATGATGCAGTCTGGCAGCCCCAAACTATGCCTGCTGGGGAGCACAGTCTCAGTGGCTGTGCTCTCTGGAAGAACCCTCTTCCATTGCCTCTTCAAAAGGATAACTGAACTTTCCCTATATATTTGCATGAAACCAGTATCCACAAAGTGCTTGGGATTAACGTGGCTGATCTCTCCCATCCACCAGCTGTGGGTTTGGAAGTAGGGGAGAATTGCAATAGGTTTCGTGCCAGCACTTTCTTGTGTTCACACTTGCCCCTATAGCTTGAGGAGGTTGGACAGGTTCCTTTGCCATGATAGAAACAGTAAACAAGAGCTTTGCCATGTCTCCTCCCCAGTACAGCATGGCCAGCACTGAGTGAGTCCCCAGCTGCAAGTGAAGAACTGGGGACCATGCAACCTGCTCCCTGTGGCAAAGGGAAGGTGAGCAGGGAAGGTGCAAGCACTGTGCTCCATGTTCTCACATGGCATCCCTGCACTCACCCTGAGCCTGTTGGGAAACTCCCAAGTCATGCTGGCTCCTCTGAAGAGCTCTTTTGGTTGCAGCTTGGGTTTACATTGAACCATAGCTTGGGCTGGCAGGAGCCTGAGGGATAAGAGATACCAGAGTTACTTGCACATGAAGCCCGAGCTGTTCCCCTTGGGAAGCACTGAGACCTGCAAGGAACCTGGCGCAGGCATTTATCACCTCCAGTCCTGTTACCAGCACCCACTGCAAACCCCCAGCACCTCACAGCATGGCTCTGACCTCCCAGGGATGTGCGTTTTTCTCCTCATTTCCAGAAAAGCGGTTGCTATGGCAACAAAAAGGATTTACATTTTTAAAAGCTTCCTCAAGAACATCCATTCAAGAGGCTGTGGATCAGGAGAACAGAGGGATGTGATGCAGCACGATGGGCCCAGCATGGGACAAGAGCTTCAGAACAAGCCCAGGTGCCCATGCATGGACATTTATATACAGGGCTGCATCCTCAGCAGTGTGACCAGCAGCTCAGGGAGGTGATCCTGCCCCTCAACTGTGCTCTTGTGAGATCCCACTTGCAGCACAGTGTGCAGTTCTGGTGTCCTCAGCATAAGAAGCACATGGAGCAAGTCCAGAGGAGGGCCACGAGGATGATCAGGGGCTGGAGCACCTTCTAAGGAAGAAGCTGTTCCCTGTGAGGGTGCTGAGGTGCTGGCACAGGGTGCCCAGAGAAGCTGTGGCTGCCCCATCCCTGGCAGTGTTCAAGGCCAGGTTGGACACAGGGGCCTGGAGCAACCTGCTCTAGTGGAAGGTGTCCCTGCCTGTGGCAGGGGGTCGGAGCTGGATGAGCTTTAATGCCCCTTCCAACACAAACCAGCCTATGAATCTATGGTTCTATGGACAGGCTGGAGTGTAACTGCCTCCTCTTCATGCTTCCTCTGCAAAGACAGCTGCTTACACATGCATTGTGATAAAGAAGATCCAGAGAGAAAAGCTCTGTTACTGGCAGCTTGTCAGGGAAAAAACCCAACCACAGAGTCTCTTTTCTTCACTACTTCTTCACAAGATATGAAAATGGAACCCACTGTTCTCTTTTAAATGGACAAGGACATTCAGGCAGCATCCACCAAGTTTCCTTCCCAAAAGAGACTTAGAGAAAGTCCTCTGAGGAATAACTAACTGCCTAACAGACAGGAAATGAGGATAAAAATAAGTGGAACATTTCCACCATGGAAGAAGATCATCTGTGAGATCTGTTCTTATGATCACACTGCTCACTACAGTTACTCACAAGACAGGCACTCAAGCATGTGTTTGGATGCCTGGCCACCAGCAGCAGAAGGGAAAGCTCCTAAGTCCAGATGTCATCATGGAAAGGTACTCCTCTGAGCTGCTGCCTGGATGATGACATGGAGTAGCCACTTGCTCCCTGTGCCCACCTCTGCCTCAGTTTCCACATCGTACGTGCAGGATGAGAGGAGCACGCACAAAACAGGGGGTGGAAACCTTCCAGTGAAAGGGGAACAAAGTCACCCTGGGGACACCCAAAGTGGTCTGGGAGGGGAGACTCTGCTACCTCCTACCCAGCAAGGCAGAAAATGAAACCACTGCCAACTTCCCATGCTGGAGTTTTCAAGGAGGTTTTGCTGGGTCTGTGACTGAAGTAGGCAAGGATCCTGTTTGCAGAAGGTGCTATAAAGAAAGGCAACATGGATTTCAAACAGCTCCTACCAGCAAAGAACAGTTGAGGCAGAGCAGTGATATTAATGTGATATTAATCGCATGTCTGCAAAGCGCAGGCATGAGCATGCCCAAATTACAACACCAAGTGACAGTGCTGCCTACCCTCTGGCTTGGCATCATCTGCTCCCATCCAAAGGAGTCGTGTCGGAATTGCATCACAGGTACTTCATGACAAATGGCAGACAGGGCCCAGGGGCAGAAGGGAGCACTCTCAGGGTGGGTCTCTGCACCTTGCCTGCTATTTTACTAAGAAAGGTCTGGGTTTGGTTTGATTCTGTCTTCTTTGCAAGCCAGAGATGGCAAAGCTCTCCCTAAGCAAAGGACAGAAAGGGCAAGGAAAAACACTTTACCAGAGGACTTAGCTCTATGAAATGCATGTTGCAGTGGGATAAGGAGCTCGGAGAGATACTGAACTGCCCCAACCTTGTGTAGGCAAGAGCTGGGGCTCTGCATCCTACTTGGAGCTCAGAGGAATACTGCACTGAAGTGTCTCTTCTCTTGCAAGGAAGAACTTCCTTAGGTGTTCTTTGGACAGTCGCTGCAATCCCTCTGGGACTGTCAGTCCAGAATCTGACACTGCTTTTAGGAGCAGAGCTCACAGAGATGTGATGGGGGACACAGCCAAGCTGAGAACCCCCCCCGCTTCCCCCATAACAGAGACTTGACTCTGAGGAGGAGCCCTCAACTTGGCTGAATGCCATTGGCAGGACTGAGCCTTGTGTGCCAGATGGGTTTGACACCCCTTCCTCCTCCCTTCTGTGTGCACACAGACATCATGATACCTCCTGTTGTAGCTACCAAACCATTCATTGCAGCTTCCCCTGCCGCTTTAACCAAACGCCATTAACAACAGTTTAAAAGAGGAAGAAACCCTTCCAATCCCACAGATTTAGATCCACTTAGGCCTCCCGTGAAGTTCAAGTGCTCCTCTATAATTAGTATAGCCACTAATGACTCAGCCAGTGACACACAAAGCCTCTGAGTCCATTGGCAGTACCACAGTGGTCTCTGCAGCAGCTCAGCTTGATTTGAGAACCAGCAAAGCCAGGAAAGATGCCAAAGTAAACCATTGTCACTAAGAGACCAGGGCTGCTGAGGACAAGGAGGAATCAGCTCAAGTGGTTGGTGGTGTGTAAGAGACATCCTACAGCAAGCCCAAGGCACTACCAACCTGCAACAGCAGGGACCAGGCACAGGGTTAAAGAGAAGAGCATCTATTGCCTGTGGAACTAAACTACAATAAGGACATCCAGCCAGGGCTGAGCAATGCCCTATCTGCATCACGACCCTGAAGGCAGAAGCAAAACTGTGTGTGGATAGGCATAAGTGAAGTGGTTTGTATTCAACCTGTGTGTGTGTGTATTTGAATAAGTGATTCTCAACTGAGCCAAATGTACATGCTCATTATGCTGTGAGAGTTTAAAAGCCATTAGCAACACAAATCCTGGTGTGAACCCTGCTCTAGGTTGTTGGTTTGGTTTTGCCTTTTTCTCCCCATTCATCACAGTATTCAGTAAGTAATTTCTTACAAGTCTTTCTTCTTGGCCTGAAGCTGGGATCTCACACAGCCTTTGCCCATGCATTAATCATTGTTCCTGTCACTCTCAGCCTGGGCCTCTGTTATCTCTGCTTTTCTGCCAGCAGCCAGTGATGAGAGGCTGTGCTTCCCCTGTTCCTGTGCTGCAGGACAGGGTGCTCCACACCAGATGTGTTCTGAAATGGGGATATCAGAGGAAAAAGGCAGACTCAGTGGCAGAGGAGATACGTGTTTGGAAACTGCATGCAAGCGTGACAGAGCTGGGCTGGTTCAGCCTGGAGAAGGCTTCTTAAAGGGAGACCTGAGAGCATCTCCAGTGCCTAAAGGGGCTACAGGAAATCTGGAGAGGGGCTTTGGATGAGAGCCTGCAGGGACAGGCCAAGGGGAATGGCTTTAACCTGCCAGAACAGGGGAGACTGAGATGAGCTCTTGGGCAGAAGCCTGTGAGGGTGCTGAGGCACTGGCACAGGGTGCCCAGAGAAGCTGTGGCTGCCCCATCTTGAGTGAGCCTTGGGGATGAGAAGCTGGAGAGGTGGGCATTCATGTGGCCCAGAACCCAAGACACAGAGCAGGCCAATCATGAGGAATCAAGTAATGATGTGTTGCCATGGCAATACCAGGCCAAGAGAAAAAACTATTAGCAAGGCTTGTATAAGGTGGGTAATTAATACAGTCCTCCATGAGGAGGGGTTGTATGAAATTCCCAACCCCACTAGTCATGCTAGCAGAGGAGAATAGGCTGTGGTGGAAGCTCTCCAGGAGCTGCTGCTGGTCTTCACCAGCTCATCATCAGCAGGGATGCCCCCAGCAAATCCAAGCCAGACTGCACCAATGCTCACATAAAACATTCATGATCCACTGTGAATGGTGGGGTTTTGGCATGAGAAGGAGGAAAGGGACTGGAGACAAGCTTTTAACTCTCACAGCAAGTGAAGTGATAACAGCTTTCAAAAGCTCTAGCAGCTGTGGTCTGGGGTGGTCACCTGTGTTTCAGCATCCTGAATGTCCCCAGAAGAAGGGTGGCTTGTTGGAGGTTGGTTTTTGATTGTCCACAGTAAGTTGTTTGTTTCTTCTCTGTTTCCTGGTTTTAAGACATCCTTCTTGAGGCAGCAGGGTTGGTCACAGACCTTTCTGAAAGAGAAAGCAGGGATCCTTAGGCAATTGCATGATTTCAGAGCTGAGACTTTAACTGAAAACAGACAACGAGCTAGTGCTGTGGCCTGTTTGCAACGCTGGGGTTTAGTTCTGGAAGGGGCCTGCTATGGGGAGAAGAAATCTCCTTCTGCCAGCCAAGTCAGTTGCTCCAAATAAGCAAATTCCATTATTCAGCCCCAGAACTGCCAGCCTGCAAACATAGGCATTACTTGTGCCCTGCTCCTTATCCGCCTCCCACCCACCAGCTGTCTCACTGGTGCATCTCCCATCCTGAGCCTGCTTCAGCAAAGGATGCTTTTCCTCCAGAACAGCTTACCCCAAACACTGTCCTCCTCTCTGGTAAGGAATGGAGTCTGAGGATGGATCACTTTGGAAGCTGGTATTCCCCTGTTATCCAGGCTCCTGTTTTCACTCAGGCCTTTCCTTCTCGATCTGCAGAGATGGACCCAAGCAAACTTGTCAGCAAAGCCAGGTTTCTGCCCCATACATTGGTTCTCCCATGCCAGAGAGGTTAGGGGAAGTGCAAGGGTTAAGACAGGCTGACTAATGGCAACACCAGGGACAAAGCAATGGATTTACTAAATGAAGTGGAAATGCCTCCTGTTTTCTCTCCTGCTCTTGCTGGGAAGTATCTGCCTGCTCTCCTCCCAGCTTGTATCCAGAACCTTGCAGGAAATAAAACTGTTCAAATATAGTCCTTCTAGTTGCAATAGTTTCTAACAGATCAAAACACTCTTTGGCCAGCAGCAGCACTTCTTCCTCCCCCCACATCTGATATGGCAGGGGTTTACAAGCCATTCTTGATAGTGTTTTCTTCTCTCTTCTCTGACCCACATCAGGGTCTCTACCATTAGAAATGCCTTGCCCTCTTAACACCAGCCTCCTCCCGGATGTATTTGGGACAGAGGAAAGTAGTAGCTAGTATCCTTGGGGAATTCCTGCGTTCCCTCTGGCTCACTTTTCCAGGGCTCTCTGGAATCACCCTGCCAACCCGTGTGACCCCCACAGGCCATCACGTCTTTCCAAGTACTTGCAGAAGAACTGGAAAGTTCATTTTAAAGGAAAAGCAGTGGGATGGCTCACTCCCTGTGTGCTTCTTCCTCTGCAAAAGAAGCCATATGGCAGTGCTTAACTGCACTTACTGTGCTGGAATTACTTGGCCTTCTGGCTTCCTTCTCCAAGACTGCCCAACTGTGCAATTGCCACCAAGCTGCCACCTGCCTGCCTGGCAAGCACTGTCCCAGTCCCTGCACTTGGAACTACTGCAGGCAGCTCCATTCCTGGGTGGCTGCAGAGTGCTGCCTTCATCTCACCTCATGTATTCCTGACCTCACCTCTGTCTGCATTAACTCCCTCGATATTTAGGTTCATCTGGTGTCCCTGAGGATCCTAGACCTTGGGCTGAAGCAGGGCTCAGCACCTCACCGCTAATGGGACGTATTGAGGGCTTGAGGTTAGGGTAGCTCCTAGGGCAGAAGCCACAGTGTCACAGTGACAATCACTGGAAAGCTTAGGAATGTTTTTCAGATCCCTTTCAACCTGCTACACCTCAGATTTATAGTGTCCTGGCTCTATGTGACCTTCCAAAGAGCCATCAGGCAGGTATGTTGCTGCTGGTACCCTCCAAGCCCTAGGCTCCTGGATAAGCTGTTCTGTAAAGCAGCATTTGGGGCCATCTGCTTCTCATGTCTTGGACCCCATGATGCTTAAGAGTACTCTTGTTGTATACCATTTGGGAATGATTTTTCTGTCAGTCCTGAGGGAAGTTACAGGTAGAAAAAAGCCAAACCAAAAAGCCAACAAACCTGACTGAATTTTGGGGAACATTGATGTCTGTTGCTTCCACATCACACAGTGCTATGCCTGATGCCTGCACCTTAACTCAAACCATGCCAGCTCTGCCATAAAGGTTTCCTGTGGGAAGAAATGATGACATGAGAAGACATCCCTTTTTGGAGCAAGAAACACTCCTTTTGAATGCAAGTCAGTGAGATTCTGGTGCTTGGGGATTGCCCTGTGTGCCAGGACCTGGCCAGAGTCCACCACTGAGTGCTTCCCATCCCCAGAACCAGTAGAACCATGTGAAGAGCAGCTAGACCCAGCCATGTTCTTAGAGCTGAGTAGCTGGAAACTGCGGGAAAGGAGAGCCTGATCTGCTCTGAAAAGAAATGCAAAACCAAAGAACATTTGAGGGGAAGGCCAGCAGTTGCTAAATCACAACAGCAGGATTCTGCCTTATGATACACAACTGCGTGAATGATAAAATGGCTGAGTTAAACAGTACTAAGATTTAATATAAAAAAACTCATGTTTGGTATTAAACTCACTATAGTTAGCAGGTGAGGCTCACTTCAGTCCTAGGAAAGAAGATCCACTGTGGGTTCACTCGCAGCTTAAACAGATCACTTGACAAGTTAATCCAGGTCCACTGTCCTAGGGCAGCCAGCCCTTGATTACCACATGGTGGATTGCACAAGCCTGACCAGACTGGGGTTCTTTGGCTCTGCTGTGCAGCTGGGTCAGCCCAGGCTCTGCCTCTGTGTCTGACGCATCCCCTCCAGTGCTGGCAGCCAAGCCCTGGTGCCCATGGTGATAACACAGGCTGGACCTGGCAGAGAGGGGAGAGAAGAGCAGCAGCTTTAGCACCAGCTCAGCTGTTCGCACACTGCCTCCAGCAGCATTCACCCTCATAATGCTCCTGCAAGCTCATACAAGCTTAGCTGGAGAGGAGGATGTGCTTCATACAGTTGGACCAGAGGCATGTGCTAGGCAGCTCCAGCAGAGCAAGTTGCCTTTTTCCTGGGCTTTGCTTGTGTCATTTGATTATCAGGACTCATAACTCCTGTCCCAGACTTGTAGAGGGGTTACACACAGTCAGAGTACCTGAAGGGAAAGGAGTTGCTGCTATCACAGCACCCGGCCCTCCAAAGAGGTGGCATTCCAGTCATGTCGTGCAGAACGTCTGCCAGACACCATGCCCTAGGATCAGGGACTGGCTCAGAGACAATGAAAAAAGAGCACCCATTAATTCCACTTGCTTTGTAAAAAAGTTGTATTTTTAGTGCTTATGAGTGGTGCCAGATTGGCAGTGTTATAAATAGAAGGTTGTATTTATCCTACTGTCTAGGTACCACAGTGCTAAATCAGTTTTACGACCTGAATAAATCCAGATTAGATTCTTTCAAGGATGCGTCACCATAGAAATAACATTTCCTCTTTGCATTCATATGCATGGATAAGGAGCATGGATTATGGCAAGGGAGGGGTGCTGCCCTCATAAGCCAGCCTGATGCTTTCTGATCTGCCTTGATGAGATGCAGGCTGACATTCAAACAAGACTGTGGATCCCAGCTGTAGCTCTCCAGGTCGTATCTAAAAGGTGATTCCATACCTTGCATTTTGGGGTAAAAAGCCTATGGCAACCGTGGCAGCTGAGGCTAGGCCTCAACCTGGGACAGGGAGCATCACACTGTGTTCCTGAATAATGGCCAGAGCTCAGTTGGCAGATGAAGTTATAGGGTCCTTGCTGACATTGGCCATACCCACAGTGACAAAACACGAGGGTAGAATTAAGAAGGAGCTTTGCTGCTCTGCAAAAGTGAAAGAAAGGGAGACAGAAGGCAAAAAGAGTCCTATCTGGTAGAATAACTTACAGGCTATTGCTAAGGTGCTGCTTTTCTATCAAGCTGACTGACAATAAGTATTAAAACCGAAGAATAATCCTTCCCCTCTTAAAAGAAACAGGAGAGAAGATAACTCCCCCTTTAATTCCCGTCCTTTTTTCCTTCACCACCTGATGCTGCTCCATCAAATCCGTGGCAACATGTCAATTCCCAGCACAACAGGCACTTTTTAGTGGTCACACACCTCCCTCTTTGAACAGGGTGTGCTGCTCCCAGCGCCAGGGGATGCCAAACAGCTCAGCAAATGCACCTCCTGCAAAAACCAGCCTTTCAGGATGCCTGCTCCCAAAAGTGACATCTCATTCCTTATGCTCCCATTTGAGCCTGTGTCCCCCTGCAAAAACCCACACATGCGACGTGCCTGAAGGCTTCCTCTAGGCTCTCCTCTGCTGTCTATGGCTACGAAGCAGGAAAAGGCAAGGAAAAAGGACTGGTAGCTTTCAGTTACCCTGAAATTAAATAGTTCCCTACCTGGGAAGCAGCCTGTCAGGCTGCTTTGGTCTCTGCAGTCTCCATTGGGAGCCCAGAGAGCAAATACACTGGGAAGCCAAGCATATCAAAGAGCATATGAATGACAGCAGCGGAAGGGTTTTGATCCTTTCACTCTCGCTGAGGTTTTTATAGTTCCACAAGCTGGAAGCCTGAGTGAGCACAAGCTGCTTGGCTTCACATGCAATGTTCTGTCTGGTCAGCTGGTTGGCAGGAGGAGTGCTGGGTTTGGATGTACCACACTGCCTGTTTGCCCTAACTCTTGGTGAAAGCTTGCTTCTCCTCCTCATGACAGAAAGGGGGTCTGGAGGGCTGGGGGTGCTTCAAGCTCACTGGAGCCCACTAAAAGTATGAAAAGATGATTGTGGAGAGAACCACAGAATCACCAAATCAACCAGGTTGGAAAAGCCCTTTAAGCTCATCCAGTCCAACCATTCCCAGCACTGCCAAGGCCACCACTAACCCATGGCACTGAGGCCTCGTCTCCATGGTGTGTGAACACTTGCAGGGACGGTGACTCCAGCCCTGCCCTGTTCAGCCTGTTCCAATGCCTGAGCACCCTCTGGGGAAGGAATTGTTCCTCAGCTCCATCTAAACCTGCCCTGGTGCAGCTTGAGGCCGTTCCCTCTTGTCCCATCCCTTGTCCCTTGGGAGCAGAGCCCAGCCCCTCCTGGCTCCATCCTCCTGTCAGGCAGTTGTAGGGAGCAATCAGGTCCCCCCTGAGCCTTCTCTTCTCCAGACTAAGCCCGCAAGTCCCTCAGCCATTCCCCATCACACTTGTGCTCCAGGCCCATCAATCCTTACCAGATTTCTCAGATAGGCTCAATATCTGGGTCTGGAACAGCCGCTGGAGAAGACTAAAGGATCGGCTGGTCTTGTGCTGCCCTTTGTGCGCACGGGAATGGAAGAAAAATGCAAAATGAGTCAGGGTGTGAGGAAAAGGAAACCTAAAATAGTAATAATAAAATAAAAAGAAGTAAAAGGTACTCGTGCATAGCAAGATGAGAAGAACTAAAGCAAGCCTTAGTGGGAGTGTTATTTGCTTGACGTTGCTGTCTGATTTGAGACTCACATGCCTGAGCTCTAAACCCGCCACGGAGTCATCACAGAGTTGCAAACCCAGCTTTCACTGCTAAATGAGGCTGTTGGTGAACTTCCCGGTATTCCCAAGTGGCACTGCTTAACTCACGTGCCAGGCTGGTGTGAGAGTTAGTCACGATTGCTTAAGGCATGGAGGCACCAGAGCTCCCTGGAGGATGACGATCCCATTTCACAGCAGCTCTTGAGGTTTCAAAATGAGTTTCCTCTGCCTGAAATGAAAGCAGCACAGAATCATAGAATCACCAGAGGGGTTGGGTTGAGGGGACCATAAAGTTCATCCAGTTCCAACCCCCTGCCACAGGCAGGGACACCTTCCACTAGAGCAGGTTGCTCCAAGCCAAAATATCATAGAATAGTTAGGGTTGGAAAGGACCTTAAGATCATCAAGTTCCAAACCCCCTGCCATGGGCAGGGACACCTTTCACTAAACCATACCACCCAAGGCCTTGTCCAACCTGAACATCTCAATTTCCCCTGTGGCAGGTTAAAGCCATTCCCCCTTGTCCTGTTCCCTACAGGCCCTGATGAAGAAAAAAAGATAAAAAAAGGAGGAAAATAAAGGGGAATTTTGTTGCAATGTCTATTTTGCGATTGAAAACTGAAGCCTTTTCAGGACAGAGGGGATATTGTACTGCACAAGGCACTGGTTGGGAGGATGAGACATCCTGGAGGCATGAGAGTAATTTGCTACCCCAATAAGTGTGAACACACCAAGCTCAGCAGTAACACCCGTGTAGAGCCAGAGAGCCAGCACAAGGTTTGACATATAGCTCCTCCATGCTTCTTACTTGGAAAGGGAAGAAGTGTAATAAAGAGTTGAAGTCACCTAAATAAATCCTATTAAGGATCTGGCAGGAGTATTGGGCATCCTATGGCTTGCTAGCACCCTCATCTGGTCTGTCATCACCGTCAAAACCCTTCCAACCCACAGCCATCTCCTAGCTTGTGCCTTGAACTTCCCGGCTCTTGCCTCCCCTGCCTGAAGGCAGCTCCCCTCTGCTCCTGACATGAGGAGCCTCTCACTGGAGGATATGGAAGTGAGTCTGTCATTCACTCTCCATGAGCTCTGCCTTGTGCCTGCAGTGGTCTCCTGGACAGTGGGCAGCAAATACATCCTGCAGGGTCTGGTCCATATTGTGCCCATCCAAGGCCAAGCAGCACCCTCAGCAGTGCCTGTCCCTCTGGTTCCTGCTCCCCCCCTGCATAGAGCAGAGCTCCCAGACATACACCAAAGGAGGAGCAAGGAGGCTGGAAACCTGACGGCAGGCTGATGGTGTTGGCTTCACTTGGATCCCTCCATAAGCTGCCAGCTCAGCTAGACAGGAGGCTGCTCTCCTGTTTATTTAGTAACCCAAGTGAAAGGCATCTTCTGGGAAGCCCATTTTCAGTCATTTACCAAATGAGGTTACAACATTCAGGGGTTTGCCTGAGGATTCACATCATGCTGCTCACAGCACTATCAGAGCCTAGATGGAGTCAGGAGCGGATGGAAGGCCTTGCTGAAGAGACAATCATTCCCCAGCATGCATGATGTTAAAACAAGCTGCACGTAGAAAGGCGTCTGCTTCCCTTCTGCCATGCCCATCAGCTCATGGCATGAAGCCTCTGTGATCCTGTGTTCAGTGCTCTCAAGGGTTAATCCCCTTCAGAGGGAGCTGGGACTCTGCTCCACCAGTCTTTTATCATTGGGGCTGAGGACCAGGAAGTGAAGGAACAAAGCACACAACCCATGTTCTGGCTGCGAGACTTCTTCGTGTTTTCCTTTTCAGTGCAGAAGGAAGCTAAAGGGAACAGCACTTAAATGAGAAGCAGGGAGAGGGACAGGGAACACTGTGGCTGCGAAGACTCAGCCTCCCATATGATTGCTGGGCATGTGGTGCCAGATAAATGTGCTCCTGTTAAATGTGGCACTCACTGTGCCCGCATGAAGATGTGTACTGGGCTCACGCAGCCCCACAGCGTGCTCTGGAGGCGGTCACAGCCTCAGATGAAGCAGTTTCATTACAAGATGCTGCAGGGTTAAGAATGAAACATTCTGTGCATGGTGGCTCAGGCTTGAAGGGCTGCTGCCAAGGCAGGGAAGGACACTGAATCATAGAATCAACCAGGTTGGAAAAGACCTTTAAGCTCATCAAGTCCAACCACATTTAATCCATTTATTGCATTGTTCAGTGGAAAGACAACTCCTCTCCAGACCTGTGCTTCCTGCACAACAGTCATGCGCTGGTTTACACAAAGGCAGAAGAGTTTACAGCTTAGAAGAGCACTTCGTTCCATCTCATCCCACAGAGATTTAATTGCACTCATAGGACTGTCCTCCACAACGCTGAGGCAAATCCTCCAACCCATGAGATGCAATACAACAGCACCGAGTTTAGAGGAGGAGGAACATGGGATCCACCTTAGCTTTCTCATTTAAAATCCTTAAAGGTGGACTCAAGTCATCTCTGAAGTTGAGCAGAGGTTATTTTCTTCTGTAGGAGCAAACTGCCCAACAGCCTTTTGCCACTGATACTCCTGGTAGACAAAGCACACTGAGGCTCTGTGCCCTGCTGAAGGGCAGCTCCTCAGGCACAGCACAGCCCTGACCCTGGAATGGTTTTACACTGCTAATGAACACACTGAACCCCAGCTGAGAACCCAAGCCAGGAGCCCCTGCTGGGAACAGCACCAGGACCTACAGCCAGCACTGAACATTTTCAATTCCTCCGTCCAAAAATCATTGAATCATAGAATCCCAGCCTGGGCTGTGCTGGAAGGAACACTGAAGCTCATCCAGTCCCAACCCCCTGTCACAGGCAGGGACACCTTCCACTACAGCAGGTTGCTCCAAGCCCCATCCAACCTGGCCTTGAACACTGCCAAGGACTTTGTGCCCTCTTTCTGGTCCTCAGACAAGAGAGATGGTCTCAGCACTGAGCAGAAGCTGGGAACCTGCCGCAGGTTCAGGGGTCCAGCCCTGTGGTGGGTGAATGCTCTGCCCAGGCATCATCCCCCTGCCCTCCAGCCTTGTGAGAAAGTGCTAACTCCAGTCTCCCCAACTCCATCCTTTGGCAGGGCTCCATCAAGAGCTGCAGTTTAGCACAACTAAATTGAAGCAGCCCCAAGAGTGTGCAGTTTATGTATTCCTAGATCATTAAGCCTTCTCCTAGCGACAGTGTTTAAAAGGCACAGTGACGTCTCATTCCCCTCCCACTCCCCCCCGTTGCTGTTTGGCTCTTGAAAATTAAAAGATAAGCTTTGTAAATCTCCCAGAGAAGAGGGAACTGTCACTTCAGCTTTAGGAGAAAAGCCAGCAAAGAAACAAAATGCTGCTTTTGGCAGAGGAGAAAGAAAATCCGTTCTGAAAGGCTTAGAGACAAAGACTCTCAACACAATTAAAGGCAAACCTAAGGCTTTGAAAGCAGAGGGCATGACACTGGAATACACACACGAGGTAGAGATGAAAGCCTCCATTGTGGCACTGTTGAAATAAAAGAAGTTTCAATGGCTGCATTTGCCTAAACTAAAGGAGATGAGAAGCTTGCTAGAGAAGGGCTGGATTCTTCCCATGTGTACGCACAATGACAAGACCCGCTGTGCTCAGTCTTAATTAGGATCCTGGGGCAGTACTAGAATAGCTTGGGGAGAGAGGGTCACAACATTCTGAAACGGGAAAGAAAACAGGGCTCTGATATTTTCTGTGGGAACTTTTCCACCTGAGAAGCCTAAAATCTTCCTTTCCAGCCTGTTGAGCTGAAGCAAAAGGTGTTCTGATTTGTCATGTCAAGGTGTGTGTTTCACAGGACAGCTTGTTGTGGATGCAGCGCTGCATTGCAGGCATGAGGTGGCTTTCAGCCCAGCAATGCTATGAAGATGCGTCTGCCTCTAGAAAGCACTGAGCAGAGTAGTCCTGACTCTCAACTAAGAGCATCAAAACCAAGGAGAACCACAACACACCATTGTTGGAGTGCTTGCTCCTAGCAGGCAGTGAAAACTTCCCCTTGCTCTCAAACCCTTTATCTCCAACCAGCAGCACCATGAGCCCCAAACATTCACTACAAGATGCTCCCAACCAGGGTGCAAATGTCAGACTGCCAATCATGAAAGTCTGTGTTGGTAAGGGAGCACCACCATTCAGTTAAACCACAGTTTGGCCATCCACCTGCTGCTGTAACTGCCCAAAGCCAGCTCCAGCTTGACCCTAGAGAGCTGCACCATGCTGGAAAGGTTATGATTTCTGCTATCTTATCTATCCTATTCTCAATATAAGGAGGACGTGGAGCTGTTGGAGCAAGTCCAGAGGAAGCCACGAGGATGAGCAGGGGCTGGAGCAGCTCCTGTATGGAGACAGGCTGAGAACATTGGGGCTGTTCAGTCTGGAGAAGAGAAGCTGTGTGGAGACCTCAGAGCAGCTTCCAGTGTCTGAAGGGGCTACAAGGATGCAAAGAGAGACTCTTCATCAGGGACAGTAGCTGCAGGACAAAGGGTAATGGGTTAAACTGAAACAGGGCAAGTTCAGGTTAGACATAAGGAAGAAGCTCTTCCCTGTGAGGCGCTGGCACAGGGTGCCCAGAGAAGCTGTGGCTGTCCCATCCCTGGCAGTGTCCAAGGCCAGGTTGGACACAAGGGCTTGGAGCAACCTGCTCTAGTGGAAGGTGTCCCTGTTTTCTGAAAAGCAGGGAAAAGAAAGCTCTGTGGACAGTTTTAGCTTCTTTCTTCTGTGTGTTTTCCATTGGTTGGTTTTGTCACCAAGGAGACCAAATTCCTACACATAAATCCACGTTTCTGTGCCAATGGCCATCACAGCATCATTACATAAGGCGCACATTGTGCTTGTGAGCTATAGCTTTACTCACTATATGGAGGATTTTCTGGGCTGTTATGTCCACCCAACATCCTTTAGGTCTGCTCAAAGCCCAAGTCCCCAGTACTGAGATGAGAAGTCACCTTGAACCTGAAGTTTCTTGCATGTTCCTCATATCCATGTAGACAGTCCTGCATAAAACACACCAGCACATTACAGAAAGGAAAATAAACTCGTGTGCAAAAGGGGCTGAGGCACAAATTCATTCAGAAAATACCACTGACCTCAGACCACTTGGGTTCCTGTCCTCACTGAAGGAATAGTTCTCTCTACGCTCCAATCCTGCTCTGTCCCTGATTTTTTTTCCCTCCCCCTCTCAAAACAGCTCCTAAGAGCGAGCTCAGTTTTCAAAGCACTGAACAGGAGCACCATTTGATGGTGTTAATGGGAATTCTGTGCCCAGGATGCCTTTCAAGAGAGCACACATGCTGAGTTTATACTAAGTCCCCCAGGACACAGCCTGTCTCATGTTGTTTGTGCAATTCCTGTCATGCTGACCTCCATCTCCATAGCAATCCACAGAAGCAAATACCTGACTGGAAAATGTGAGGCAGAGCTCCTCCTGCTCATCTCAGTGGGACAATGAGATGGACTGGGCAAGGCAATGTCCACTGTGGGCTGCTCAACTCATCTGGGGCAATGAAATAGGTAACTGTGTCATAGAATCCCAGAATCCCAGACTGGTTTGGTTTGGGAGGTACCTTAAAGCTCAGCCAGTTCCAACCCCCTATAAAATGTCCCTTTAACAGCAGCTTTTGGAACAAGGAGCTAGGTCTTGCCAACAGATCTGTGGAAGAGATCAGGGAATATCAATTCAGGTGGCTATCATGAAATTCAATCTGTACTTTTGGTACTAGAACCTCAGTGATTTATTCATGTGACAAGAGGCCATTAAAGTTTTGCCTCTCACACTTTCTTGTACAGCATCCTAGAAAACCATCCAGCTTCAGGTTCTACAAGCAGGTGCAAATCTAATTCCTCAAAGCGAGAACCGTGTATCCAATGTGGTCAATGGTCATGGGTCAAAGATTCTATAATGGCTTTCACAGCTGTGAAATCCCAATGCAAGGCAAACCGACGTCAGATCACTTATATAAATGGTTAGCTAATGCTGTGTCTTCCTGTATCTGCATCACGGGGAACTGATACACAGCAGAGTAGGCTCCAGTAGCACCTTGTGGAAGACTCATCAGGAGGAATTAAGAATCCTGGGGACATCAGAGGTGAAGGTGCTGCCTCTCTGAGCCCCCACAACCAGGCCCAAAAGAGCATCTGTGAGGAGGCCAGGCAGTGAGCTGGTGCACTATTGACAGACACCCCCCATGCACTTCTTACTGTCTCTAGATTTGACTTGCCAACCTTTCAAAACACAGTCTGAACACATCTCCACGGCTGTTTCTTTTACATCAGCCCCACACTATCCTGTTCTAGCATCAACAAAAACCCTGGTTCTCAAAGCAACAGCTGCTTTACATGATCTCAGTTTCAAGCCAGCTCCTTAACAGATACTTCGCTCCCCTTCTCCCCACTAATTTTAGCTGTGTTGCTGTTCCATCTGGTCCCCCTGTGCTTGGAGGATTGCCAGTACCTCCTAGGAAAAACAAAAAGCTCTCTTCGGTTTGGGATTGTTGGGATAATGTGAGCAGGAGCGGTAGCATCTGCATCCATTTCCAGTTCCGACTCTGGACCATGCCAAGAAGCTTCAAGCAGCTCTGAGGCTGAGCTCTTCCTCTGGTGGCAGTGCAGCATGGATGAGACAACTGCATGTTATGTCTAAGCATGTTTTCCCCATGGGTCATTCTGAGGTACAGGCAGGGGCTGATGTCTGCACCAGAGAGAGAAATAAATCACAGAAACATAGAATGGTTTGGGTTGGAAAGGACCTTAAGATCATCCAGTTCCAACACCCTGCCATGGGCAGGGACACCTTCCATTAGACCATGTCACCCCAGGCTCTGTCCAGCCTGGCCTTGGACACTGCCAGGGGTGGAGCATTTATCACCTCTCTGGGAACCCTGTGCCAGTGCCTCCCCACCCTCACAGGGAAGAATTTCCTTGTATTTAACCTGAACTTACCGTGTGTTTCTGTTCCTAGATCACACAGTACATGAGCAGAGGTTCCCCTTCCAGTAACCACTCCTATGGGGAATCAGTAAGAGCTAGAAACTTACATTTCCGAGCTGTCAGACCAGACAAGCATCCTGGAAACCATCAGGAAGCCTGGTCCAGGATGAAGTAAAGGCTCTTGGGCACTTTGCATTGTTGCTGGTACTTCCAAGGAAAAGTTCCTTTGTTTTAAGGACAATAGCTTGCCTGCCTCCAGGGATCCAAGTGTGGGTTCCTTTCTTGCCTGTGTTACAGCTCAGGAATGAAAAACACAGAAAGAATTGAAGAAAGAAGCTACAAGTAATCCCAGGAAAGGGTGGGTTTGTGTTCCCCTGAGCACAGGCTTTGTTTGGGCAATGAGGGAGGTGTGAGGTTCTGACAAAAGGGCTTTTCCCTGGTGGTATCAATAACCAACCTACATGGGTACAGCCTGCCTGGTAGAGACCTAATGCGTATTAGTTAATACCCTGTGATGCAGATACAGGAAGACACAGCATTAGGTAACTATTTAGATAAGTAACCTGACTTTGGTTTGCCTTGCATTGGGATTTCACAGCTGTGAAAGCCATTATGGAACCTTTGACCCTTGGCCACTGACCATACTGGATACACAGTTACGACTTTGAGGAATTAGATTTGCACCCACTTGTAGAACCTGAAGCTGGATGGTTTCTTAGGATGCTTTACAAGAGGCAAAACTTTAAGAGTCTTGGTGTCTGGAGCTGCGCTGGTCCCCCATGGTAGGTGTGGGGTTGCTTGTTCACAAGCTATAGCTTGATGACACCCATCAAGCTGTATGGCCAGGGCTGCAAGGCCATCCCAGGGAACTGCAGCCCTGGAAGCAGCTGTGAGCTAGCTCAGCTCTGCTCTCCTCTGCTCCTGCAAGTGGCTGTCTGCATCCAGCTCCTGTCCTGAGCTGCCTAATCAGAAGAGACAGCAAAGAGACTCATGCTGACAGCATCTGTCTGAGAGCATGGCCATACCTGCAAGGGAAACAGTTCTGCAGCACTTCTGAGCTCTGGGAAGGCAGGGGATGCCCTAGAAGGTGAGGAGGCAGCTGGCTTATGCCTATGAACTGCATCTTCCAAAGGGAGACCTCCTGCAGCAGGCAAATGACTTCCTCATTGAGATTTAGATATCAGGCTCATTCAAAAGCAGAAGGGAGCCGAGGGACTTCCTAAGACCAGCAAAGAAAAGGATTATCTTGTGCTTGGAAACACAGTGACATAAGGCAGTCTTTCTTTAAAACCAATATCCCCCCCACAACCCTTCCCAACTCACATTTTTAGGTCCAGTTTAAAGGGATTCATAGAATACCAGCCTGGTTTGTGTTGGAAGGGACCTTAAAGGTCATCCAGTTAAAACCTCCGCCACGGGCAGGGACACCTTCCACTAGAGCACATTCACAGTGAATAAGTCACAGCTTGTGAAGCACTCAGCAGGTTCCTTGCCCTGTCCATTGCTCACCTCCAGTGTGTGCTCATGAGCAGGAGGGGGCAGGATGCGTCTCTGCCACCCTCCCTATGGAGGCCCAGCTTCCTCAGGAGCAGGAGTCACTTGAATTTTCAGCAGCTGGATAACAAAACTGCTGAACTTATCCTGAACAAACTGTTCCTTGAGGGTTTTGGCTGAACTGAGTTGTAAAGTGACTGCAGCAGGGCTGCAGGTATGGGTTTAGTGCAGGGAATTCAGATGGGCAGTTAGGCTTCTTACAAGGGGCAGATGAAAGCAAACTCACTAATCAGAGAAATGAAACTCCTGATGCACCAGAACAGTGGGGATACTTGAAAGAGGGAGAGATTATGTCAGGAAACAGGAATGGAGGGGTATACATAGAGTATACATAGTTGGGTGAAACACGACAGAGGGAAATGAGTGGTTATAGTTACAAAATCTAGTTGGCATGCTGAGAAGATGCGTGGCTCCAGATGCTAAATTCATGCTCTAATCTCAATGGCCAGACTCACAGCCTGCTGAAGGGAACAAAAAGGCTCATATTCACTTCCACAAGCCTTAGATCAGAGATAAAGTTTTAACAGCCCTTTGCACCACTGATAACTGTTCATGGGAGCCAGTGAAATGAATTAGGAAGTTTTAGTTATGTTGCCTTTCTCCAAGAGAGAGGAAAAGCATCTGCATAGTCTGGGGGTCTCGTGGCTTCATTGCCAGAAGTGCAGTTTAGCCGAGTTCAACACACAAGTTACGTCTGATCAACCATGCTGCTGTAACCTGGAACTCTGCTTCACTCTGCAAGTCTGCTCCCTCACACTCAACGCACTGCTTAAATCCATCAGGACAGAGCTATTTTCTGAGCGCCAAATCTTTTGCTCCTGGTTCACATGCACAGTGAAGCTCAACCATGGCTGACAGCAGAGTCACAGAGGCTGTTACACTCCATCTGCTTCCTTAATAACCACTCCAAACAGTCATTTATGAGGACTTTTGCCTTGGACTATTGCATTTCTTCAATATATGTATTCCTCCCTCACCTCAATAGCTGCATTACCTGCTTCCTTTTTTTGCATCTTCTCTTAGGTATCCCTGCTGATGCAGAGGCTTTAGAGATGCTGGTGTGATCCTTTTCCCGGGTATCCTCACCCAAGCACATGGCAGAGAGTTATTGGGTTTGGTTACACATAGGACATAGTAGAGGTGCTGTTTCAGCAAGATAATAGACTTACTATGGACCCAGAGGAGGCCATGGAGATGCTGTGAGGGCTGGAGCAGCTCTGCTCTGGAGCCAGGCTGAGAGAGCTGGGCTGGGTCAGCCTGGAGAAGAGAAGGCTCCAGGGACATCTTAGAGAAGCGTTTCTGTACCTGAAGGAGGTGACAGGACAAGGGGAATGGCTTTAACCTGCCAGAACAGGGGAGACTGAGATGAGCTCTTAGGCAGAAGCTCTTCCCTGTGAGGGTGCTGAGGCGCTGGCACAGGGTGCCCAGAGAAGCTGTGGCTGCCCCATCCCTGGCAGTGTTCAAGGCCAGGTTGGACACAGGGGCTCGGAGCAACCTGCTCTAGTGGAAGGTGTCCCTGCCCATGGCAGGGGTTGGAACTGGGTTAGCTTTAAGGTCCCTTCCAACCCAAACCATTCTGTGATCCTATGACCCAGATGTATCAGGGTTGCTGGCTGGCTCTCAAGAGCAGATCACACTGCCTCTGTGCAGGCAGCACTGGTTCAACATGCTGGAAGCAACATGGCTGCTTCCCCTTTTATGCCTTAGAAGCTACCTTAAAACTGTATCTTTGCTCCTGTCAAACTCTTTCTTACCCTCTGCCCTTCTCAGCTGGTATCTGGCACACCTTGCCCTTCTCTCATCAAGGTCCCTCATTTATCCTGTGCCAGCCACTATGACCTGTCCTTTGTGGTATCCCTGGATGTTATTTATGTGCCCAGGTGCTCCCTCCTTTTCGCATCTTGCAGGGAGGATTGATCCTTCTCTTCTACCATCTCCACAAGTCAAACCTTGACAGAGGCCACAAGAGAAGGAGCAGAGCTGAGGGCATCTGCTGCACACACATCAGTGCTGGGGGCTCACAGAGTGACAGCATGACAGCTACCCCCAGCAAGGAGCAGCACTGAGTCCTGCTCCTGATGGTTCTGCAGCTCCTCTGGACTGCAAGTAGCATTAAAAAATGAATTATATGCAGCATACAGGCACATTCCTACACCCATCTCTTGTTTGAAGGGTTGTGTCTGCCTTGCATTCATGGCAGCTCCCTACAGGCAAGCTTAGGTCTTGGTCCAGTTTTGACAACATCAGCCCTTGGCTTGCTAGATCACCATGACACAAGTTATTATTCCAGGTTCCTGTTGCTTACACCTCACCCAAAAGCATACACCTGCACTGCACTCATCCAAACAACTTTTTGACTTCCTATGATCCATATGCAGCACCCACATGAACCAGATGCAGAAATGCAGCCCCAAATCTTGCACAATGAGACATTCAAGCAGCAATGTCCATCAGGGCCACCCCTGCTGCCTGCCTGCCTTCTGCTGCTCAGGTGTACAAGCTAGAACCCTCCTTCCCTTTGAGCCACCTTGGAATGTTCCTTCTGCTCCACATGAAGCATGACTCCTTAATAGATTAGCCTGGATCTGTCACACAGCGAGGCAATACAGCAGGCAAACAGAAGGCCAACGCGGTTGTGCGGAGACAGATCCCAGCCTGTGCAGTGGGGAAGTAATCCTTCTTCTCTGTAGGACCCTGGTAATTGCATCTGGATTTCATTGAGCTCATGGCAGGCCATTCCCAGAAAGGCTGACAAACCCAAGCAAGCTCAAAGCTGATTAACAACACACAGCCAGGGTCTTGAGGGATTGATTTATGTGGAGGGATTCAGAGAGCTCAGTAGGGCTTGCTCAGCCAAGTCATGATTAAAGGAGATAAGAGTCTGGAAATACCTGTGGGCTAAAAAACTGATGACCCATCATTGTGGGGCTGCCCAGAAGTTAACTTGAAAGCCTGTAGATAATGAAATACGCCGTGTACCAGGAGGAGCCTGCACCAGGCTCAGCCCTGCCGAGAACTGAACACACATGCAGCAGCACCTATGGGTCAGAACATGTTCCAGGGGACAAAGTAATAGGGCCAAGATGGGGAGGACCCCTTGTATGGCCCCAGAGGGGCTGTGGGAAGCCACTGGGGAGGAAAGGGTCACCTTTTCCACTGAAGGGTGAGGAGAAGGGATTGGCTGTTATGCAGCTTCTGGGACAAACCATGACATTGGGGCTCTCCTTGCTTCTCCTCTTGGTGTGGTGTCCCCCAGGTATGGCCAGCTGTAGACTGGTTCTGCCTGCTCCATTAGCATCAGTAAGGCTTGAGCTGGCCCAGCAGTGAAGGCTGTGCAGCAACCAGACAATTCAGTTTGCAAAGTGATTCAGCAATGTATTGATTTAACTCTGCAGACAAATGACCTTTTTCTGGGCTCCAGTCATCAGCATTAATATCTTAATAGATTTACTGTGTAGTCACTTCTCCGCAGGGCGAGGGAAATGTGGGCAGGGATGGGGTGAGGCAGGAGGGGGCTTGGGCTGATCAACCCCATCCCTGGCAGTGTTCAAGGCCAGGTTGGACACAGGGGCTTGGAGCAACCTGCTCTAGTGGAAGGTGTCCCTGCCCCTGTCAAGGGGTTGGAACTGGATGAAATTTAAGGTCCCTTACAATACAAACCAGTCTGGGATGAACAGAGCACAGGCTGCAAGGTTGGGGTTTTCTGAAAGCAGGCAATGAAAGAAAGGGGTTTCAGTATAAAGAGGCACCACTTCCTCCTGGTCTTCAATTCACATTTTCTTACCACGGTCACAAGAGCAACCCACTTGGCTCAACTTCTCCAGCCTGCAGCTCAGAGGAGGATGAGGGACCAGGACTAAATGGTAGCAGACACCAACTTGGACTGTGCAAGGGGCACAGCCAACAGCATCCTATGAGCTGGGTGAGGAACACACCTCACCCAGACAGCTCACAGGCTGTTTTTCAGCAGCACAAGAACCCTGCAGAGGGGGTCCTATATTAATGCAGAACATGCTTTCTTGTACACATACAATCAGCACACTAGCCATAAGCCAGGATCTAAGCTGTTATATCAGTAATCACAGCCCTGGAGAAATCCACGCTGATTTACACTAGCTGAGAGCATGCAACTTCATACTGCAGGTATTTCATGACTATGTAGCTGCTGTGACAGTTAAAAGATGCCATCTTGTACCACAAGGGATCAGCTGTGTCCCAAATCCAAACAGTCTGTGTCACTCTCTGCATCAGAAACCTATTGCTTTTCACTATGAGCTTTCAGACACCATGATTTAGCTCTCTCTTGCCTCCTGCCAATCTATAACCAGGATAGTACAAGTGTTCTGCAAGGAGTAACTGTCAATAGGATACCATGTAGATGTGATACATCAGCCCAAACTCCCAGTCCAGCCCTGACTCTCACTACGTAACCACACATACACATAATTATACACAATTACTCTCCCAAGGAGACCATTTCCAGTGTAAAAAATAGATGTTTGTTTTTTTTCAGACTGCTCTTTCCTGGGCTCCCACAAGCCTCTTCTTTTCCCTGGGATCACTCAACCTTTATCTCCTCCGCACAATAGAAGGGATACCAAGTTGCTTTTCTTTCCCCCCTCAAAACAGGAATCTTCCACAAAACTGAGATGTAGCTGAGACCTT